TGATAGTTTCGATAAATAATATAGTTTAACGCTTAACACATAATAGTAATTATGTTACTCATATGTAACAGTATGACATAATTTTAACTTGACAAATAATAATTATACTGGTATTATAGTTTGCTGCTTAACAGATAAGAATCGTAATGAGTTTAATGATACATTAAAATTAAATTTTTTTTTACATTGACGGACATTTTTTTTATAGTAAAACAATCTTTAAAGATTTAATTGTATATAAATTAAATGTTATCAGACATTTCAAAACATTTTCAAATATTGAAGTAAAAAAAAAATTTTGTATGCGTGAGTGACGTTTTTCAAATTTCTCGTTTATTACCCAACAGTTAATAATCATAATAAGAGGTTAATGAATCATAATATAATATACAGAATTATTTTTTTAATTAAATTTTACACAGAAATTGTTTGATCTACATACTATATAAACACATACTAAAATACAATTCTGTTTTAGTGTACAATTTTGTTTAGTTAAATTTTTTTGATATAAAATTAGTTACAGTTTTAAATATCTATAAACTTTAGAGCAGTCATATTTAAAATAAAATAANTCTATAAACTTTAAAGTAGTCATATTTAAAATAAAATAATGGTTTTATAGGATGGTGATTTGGATAATATTGGAACAAATTTATGGCATCTTTCCTTTGAGGTAAGTTATTACAGATAGTATAAACAAATATTTTTTTTACTAAATTACTACGAATATGTTGTTTAATCTACATACTATATAAGTTATTAAATGATTTGTAAAAATATATCATTAAAAACTAAAATACAGTTCTGTTTTTATATATAATTTTGTATAGATAAGTATATTTGAAATAAATTCTAAATATCTCCAAGGTATTTAACTAGTCATATTTTCAAATAAATAAAAATTATTATATAGGATGAAGAAAAACCAATAAAATATGAACGATTCGATATATACGATCCTTCAAATGAGGTAAGGTGTTACTTATATTATAAAAAAATATTTAATTACTCAGTATATAATTTCGTCAGTAAAAGTATGTAAATTTTAGATTCACGTTACAGAAAAGTTTCTAATTAATAAAATGTCTGGTTAATAACAACTTTTGAATTGGTACTTTTGGATGAATTAATATTTCAAAATAATGAGACGTAGGTTTTATAATTTTTGTGATTAATTATTTTGTGTTATAATATTACCCCAACTAATTATGAAAAAACAGTATCTTCTAAAATAATACTTCAAAAGTAATTATTGACTAGTAATTTTCTTAATTAGGTCCTTAAAAACCAAAGTTTATGTAGATTTAAGGAGTAAAAAAGAAAGGATAGAGAGAGATAAAAAAAAAAACATAATTAGACATAAAAAAATGTATACATACTCAAAATAATAAAACCAAGCACAGTGAGGAGGTGGCACAGATAGGACGTGGCATAGTTGGGTCCAGTATAGATGACATCTGACAGTGATTAAAATTACTATCACAAAAACGTTTCGATGCAAAGCTGTAGATAGTGTTTAATTTTAAAAAATTGGTGGATTTTTCCAAGAGCTACATAATTTCCTATTCCCTTATTTATATCCTTATTACAAGTTTTATGATTTATAAGTGTAATATATTAATAAATAAATATATATATATATATATATATATATTAATAAAATATAAATAGTAGTAATCCTAAAAAAAATATAATAATTTATACATTTTTCAAAAAGATGGAACATTATAAAGTTAAAAATATGAAAAAGAATTTTTTTACAAAAAAAACGTATTTTTTTTTATTAACTGAGATGACTGTTTTCACCATGAAAACAAAATAAAGTTCGAATTTTTTTTGTAATATTAAAGTATATTACATAAGCTTTAATTTAAGATATATATATATAAAAGTGTCAGAGTTTCCGAAACACTCTAAAAAATTAAGTTGCAAAAGTTCTACTTTCAATATTCATTTTTAAATTTTAAACCCCCCTGTATATGGGTAAATGGTCCGATTTAAAGAAAAAGTATGTCAAATGAAATATGTTTATAAATACTAATTTTCATGAAAAAATTGAAAAAAATACATTTTTTAAAAAGTTATATAAATATATAGTTAAACATGTAAAACATAAAATCGAGAATTTTCACACAAAAATAGCATTTGGTAGCCTTTTTTATTGTGAAGACAAAATAAAGTACATGATTTTTTTTTACCATAATAAAGAATATTACATTAGATTTAATATATGGTATATATAAAAGTGTCAGACTTTCTAGAACACCTTCAAGAGTTAAGTTGATAAAGTTAATTTTTTGTGAAAAAGTTGTCATTTTCAATCCCCCCTGTGAGTAGGTAAAGGGTCAGATTTATAAAAAAAAATATACCAAATGATCGATAAAGACATCATGCATGTACAAAAAAAAATTATATTGATATAGTGATTTTTAAAAATTTTATGGCAATTTTAAGAAAAAAAAATTGAAAAAATGTCAAAAATTAGCGATTTTTAAACTTGTAATTTTTTGGGAGATTTCTCACATTTACGGGGAAAGAGAGATTTTTTTTCAATTTTTGAAGGTATTGTCTTTGACTAGATACGATATGTGATTTTTTGACGTATCGTTGAAAGAAATCGGTTTGGCGAAAGCTGAGTAAATGTGGTAACAGAAACAAAAATAAAAAAAAAACTAATACCTTCTCAGCTTCGCATTTAAAATGATTAAATTTTTTGTATTCTTGAAGATAATGTGAGGTTTAGTAAATTAATCTCTTTGTATGTAATTAAATAAAGCAAACAATTTTATCTTCAAAATTACTTTGTTTTATAAGTAAAGGTATATAAACATATATCTTAAATTTATTTTTAATTAATATTAACATTTATTAATTATTTCATTTATTATGATAATCCTAAAATTAACTTAATATTGATTTTTGTTAGATAAATTATCCCCTATCATTTTATCTTTCACAAATAAGTGCAAAAAAATTTGCTGTTCATTCTGATGATAAGGGTAGAATTACTATTAAAAAAATGATAGATATAGGACACGAATTTGAAGAAGATCCAACTGTATACCAAAAATACATTGCAGGGAACATTGTTTCAGGTAATTCAGATTTAACTTTTTAAATTTATTATTTATTCAGGAGTATAATAGATCTAATAGATGAATCTTATAAATTTGATTACAATTAACATTTCGCTGATTTCTTATACATTACTGTCTCGAAATCGATTCTTATATAACCTTGAAACTTGTTTCAATATATCTATAAGCTTACCTATAGAAATAATTAAAGATTATTGTTGAACTATAATAATACTATGTATAAAAGTTATAAAAACAAAATAGTTCATTGTAGTTTTAATACATGGAGTTAATATATATGTAACGCGATTGGAGTATGCATAATAAATATACAACAGCACCCCCACTCTATACATTAAACAATTGTAATTCAAAAAGTATTTTTATTTTTTTTATTTTATAGAAATATACAATCTGTACAATGAGCACAAGAAGCATATATGATAAGAGTAGAATAATTTACATTAATATATTTTGATGGGAGAAACCACTCATTAGTAACACATCCCATATTTTTTTTTATTTTTATTTCTAAAATTTTTATTGTATATTTTCATTGGACTTAATTATATTTATATTAATTGATGTTATTAGAAAGGAGATCATGGCACCACTTACGTTTTAAACGTCTGAGTGGATTTTCTGGTAGGAAAATGTTGAGAGGTTTTTTATTAAGGGATTAGAGTGGGAGAGTAATTTAATGGGGAATCTTTTATAGTAGGAGATGGCTTTTTCATGAACTGTTTTTATGTTAAGGACGTTATGGAGTGTATAATTAGAGATATATGAAAGTGTATTGATTAGTTTTCTTAGGATACATTTTGAAAGCATTGAATTTAATTGATATTGGGTTTTTTAACATTGTCCCATAACTGAAGGCCGTAAGTCCATATAAGTTTTAAAAGAGATTTATAAATTAGAATTTTAATATTAATGTTTGAAAATTTATTGTTTATGATTAATTATTTGAGTAACCGCAGACGGCTATTTAAAGACGAGCATTTAATTTTAATGTGCTGAGCCCACTTGAGCCGTTTATCTAGTGTGAGACCGAAATAATTAACAAAGGAAGAGGAGGGGATTTGTATTCCATATAGGTATAGATATTAAAAAGGATTGGAGATAGGATACCTCCTTATAAAACATCCGAATTTATAGAGGCTATATCAGATACAGAAGAACCAAGACGAATTTGGAAAAAGAGATCTATTAAATAGGATTTAAAAACAGTTTAAAGTAGTTAGAGGGATACAAATTTTTTTTTAATTTATATAAGAGGCTATCGTCTTATACCCTATCAAAGGCTTGTAAGATGTTAAGAAACGCCCTTGTGCAATATAACTTTTTCTAAAGCGAGTACGATATTGCTACTCTATGGAATTAATATATAGTGGAGTGAGAACCCCTAAAATCAAATTGAGAATTAGGCGATATGTTATTGACAGAGTGACAGGGAAGTATTCTTTTAAGTAATAATTTTTCAAAAATTTTTGCAAAGAACGGTAAAAGATTTATTGGTCTGAAGGATGTTGGCAAGTGAGGGAGTTTATTGAGCTTAGGAACTAATATAATAGTCGAGAATTTCCATAATAGAGGGAAATAATAAAATCTAATTATTGAATTAAATCTATGTGTTAAATGGATAATAGCTTTTTTTGGAAGGCATTTTGTACCCACAGCCATTATAAGATCAAAACTAAGAGATTTGTTGGAAGGATATTTAGCAATTGTGAATTTGACGTTATTTGGTTTAAAGCATTTAACTGGAAGATAGAGTGGTAAAGGTATGTCATTACAGACCAGGTAATTTCAGGTGAGTGTATATTCGGTTGAGATTTAAAAGTATCAACTCGGTGTTCTTTGAATAACTCGGCCTTTTCCAAGTCGGAGATAGCTAGACTGACGTTGGTTTTTTTTATTGGGAGATTAGTTGTTTTATATCTAAGAGCTTATTTAGTAGCTCTTCATAGGCTACCATTGTAAAATGTTAGCTACTTAAGTAATTTTTATAGGAGTTGGTTTTGTGTTGAGCAAGCATTTTTTTAAGTTTATTTGCTAACTTATTATTTAAGTGTTTATTTTACGGAAGTATAGTTCGTTGGAATAAAGCTCTAGCTCTACGTTTGTCAGATGTTAATTTTCTTATTAGCACTGGTAAAACAACTGTTTGTATTGTAGATGTTATGTCTTCAGTAGCCATCCAAGCAGCTATTTAAATGATATTAGTGAGATTTTTTACAGCCTTTTCTATGTCCTCAGTATATTTAAGTTTTGAACTTGGTTTAATTTTCTGATTAACAAGATTTTGATACATATATCGATCTGCGTTTACTTAAAATAACTTGGGATGACTTATATGAGTTTGCAGAGTTGAATTGATGGTAAGTAGAACTGATGAATGATTAAAGTTGAGCTCAAGGATATTGTCTATAGTGTAATTTTACTCATTCAGTATTTTTGTTATAAAAATGTCAAGTAGGTCTGGATTATTACAAAGGGACGAAGGCGAATATGTATGACCTGGAGGAGCAAGAATATTTAATTTTTTTAATGATACAAAATTATGTAGAACAAGACCACGGGGTTATTTGAGCGATAGCCCCAAATTTGGTGATTGGCATTGAAGTCACCACCGAAAATGAAATTACCTTTCAAAGTGTTAAAATAGTTGNACCATCGAAAATGAAATTACCTTTCAAAGTGTTAAAATAGTTGTTGAAATCATGTTCGTGGCATTATGTTTGGGAGGAGAGTACAAGTAAATGAAGTATTTTTAAGTTAAGGATATGGAACAGGATTGTATATAATCTTGGGAATAATTGGGAAGAGGTATGAATTGAATAGAATATCTAATAAAAATAACTACTCCTCTATGAGCAGTGTTGTCTAGATCGTTGCATTTGAATTATTTATAACCAGGGATGAAAACATTTAAGTATTCTGTAAAATGAGTTTCTGTTATAAGTGCAATGTCTGTGCATTTAATATGACGGACAGTTTGTAGTTCATTAATGTGATTTTTAAGCTATTAGCATTAAACTGAAGAATTAGTAATGAATTTTTTGTAAAAGACTGACTAGTCATTTTTCTTGTCGAGCAAAATGGAGATAAATTTTGTTAAGAGAGATATAAGGGGATTGATTAGAGACTTACGGTCTTCAAGAAAAGTTGAAATGACTTTATTAATATCTAACGATGGTGGAGGAATTAGATTATTAATATTATTGAAAGTAATTTGAGAAATGTGTGGTTAATATTAAAGAAATCTTTTAATGAGTGGTAGTCTTGTTGTACATTAAAATTATTACTTTTAAGATTATCATACAAAAAGTTACTTTTATGTGTAGATTTTTTTCGTTGTTGAAAATCTCTGTAAACTCAACATCTTTTGTTATTGACTGGGTAGCTACTTGAGCACAGTGTAAATTTTTGGAGGTTGTTTCAAGGCTTTGAGCAGTTAGACGACATATGATTGGCAACACAACGCACACATTTCAGTGGGTAACCACATTCGGCTTTTGTGTGTCCATAGTCTTGACAATTTATATATTGGCTTATTGTTTTGCGTTTGTACGGCTCTTCAACATTAATCTTTGTAAGTAATAAGAAGGCTAAGTCATATATTTTTTCGATTTACCATTTGGTAGATCAGTGAAGTTTTCCACACCTTTTATGAAAATAGGGAGAGAGATTTTATTGGTTATTCCGAATTACTTTCAGGGGGTCCTGATTATGTGTGATTTTAACATCATTTTCATCATTAAGTATATTATAGCTGTTTATAGAGTGAAATAGTTAAATACTTTTTTTGCTAGAAGTGGTTGGGCGTGGCGAACCAGGATTTTAATTTAAAGAAGTAGAATGATGCCTTTTATGGGGAATCTTTTTCCAGCCATCAGCAGTATTATTCAATAAAATTGGCGAGAGCTGATGAATTGTGTTATTATTACGGTTAATTTGATTGTCAACTCTGTTGGTAGTTATAGACATGACGGCGACGGTAATTTAGATAAGAGGCCGCCGTGCGACAGCCCAACGAGATAAGTACCACAGGCAATGACGTGGGAAAACCGATACGGCATTGCTTTACGTTTTAGCTGTTTAAATAATATAACAGTTTTTTCAATTTTTTAAACTTACGTTTTCATTTTTTGTATGCAATCCATATAATAGACAATCTGCGGGATAAGACTGTTATATTTTTACAATTTAAACTTAATTAGATTAGTATACCACTATAACGGAAGAAAAAAAAGACTGAGCGTAAAAATTCCCGTGTTTGCTACCGCAAAACTAATACCGCACTACTACATGAAAATTTAAAAAAAAATACAGCGAAATGATAATTACAAGTTATAAGAATTTTTTATTATATCGTCAAATCTAGTGAATTATTTATATGAAATATAGAACTCTGTGACTAGAAAATTAAAAACAATCGTTAAATTAAAATAATACCTAGCATGGAGTCTTAAGTTTATTCAATCATTCTAATTGTATTGGAATATTATAATCATTATATCGTATAACTTATATCAGAAAATATAAACATTGCAATGTAGTAATAAAAACCCAGCACAGGGGGATCGCGGCACAGTGGTGACGTGGCATAGATGGATCAAGTATAATGATATCTGACAGTGAAAAAACTATAAAAAACGTTAAAACAATACTTTAAAAGTTTTTTTATACTATCACTATAAAAAAAAAAACGCTTGAAAAGTAAAAAAGTAACTTTTTTGTGAAAAAGTTGTCATTTTGATTCCCCCCCTGTAGGTAGGTAAGAGGTTAGATTTATAAAAAAAATATACCAAATGATAAAAAAAGGAATTATATTAATCCATACATCTTTTAAAAAGTTATAGCATTATAAAGTTAAAAATATAAATACATTTTTTTTACATAAATCGTATTTTTTTATTAAGTTTTCACTGTGAAGATAAAATAAAGTCCGAAATTTTTTTTTTTGCATGATAAATTATATTACATTAGCTTTAGTTTAAGATATACAGAGTGATTTTTTTATCAAAACCCACTCAATTACTTATAGAATAATAATAATTAAAAAAAATTTTTTTATTATTATCTTTAGTTACACATAATTCTTGAATTATTAACTATGTAATACTTTTTAAGTTTATACCTTATGCCTGGTAAGGGTGTCAACTTTGTTTTTTTAAATGGTAACACATATTTTTAATTTAATAAAATGTTTTTAATTCAATAATAAATGGCATTTGAATTTTTAATAAAGCTTAATTTGTTTATTCGATATAAACATTTAAAGTTTCAAATTTTTGAGTTAATATACATGTATAATACATATGGGATTACAAATACAAGTAGCTACCAATAGATATACTTTTTGTATTGTCAGTTAGTGTATTTAACTCAGAACAATGTACCTTACTATCATTGATAATAACAATGCTGTGTACATGCTAATATCGATGTCATAAAAAATCAATTAGCTATCTGTATTTGTAATCCCTTGTGTATTATACCTATATATTAACTCAAAAATTTGAAACTTTAAATGTTTATATCTAATAAACAAATTAAGTTTCATTAAAAATTCAAATGCCATTTACAATTGAATAAAAAACTCAAACATTTTATTAAAAATATGTGTTACCATTTAAAAAAACAAAGTTGACACCCTTACCAGGCATAAGGGATAAACTTAAAAAGTATTACATAGTTAATAATTCAAGAATAATGTGTAACTAAAGATAGTAATAAAAAAAAAATTTTAAATTATTATTATTCTGTAAGTAATTGAGTGGGTTATGATAAAAAAAATCACCCTGTATATAAAAGTGTCAGACCTTCCGGAACATTTTCGAAAATCAAGTTGAAAAAATTAATTTTTTGTGAAAAAGTTGTCATTTTAAATCCCCCCTGTGGGCAAGTAAAGGGTCAGTATAAAAAAATATACCAAATGATAATTAATGATATCATGCATCTATATAAAAAAGAATTATATTGATTCGATTATTTTAAAAAAGTTATAGCAATTTTAAGTAAAAAAAATTGAAAAAATTTCGAAAATTAGCGATTTTTAAATTTGTAATTTTTTTGGAGGTTTACCCCATTTACGGGGAACGAGGGAATTTTTTTCAATTTTTGAGGGTAATGTCTTCGACTAGATACGATTTGTGATCTTTTGACATATCNGGTAATGTCTTCGACTAGATACGATTTGTGATCTTTTAACGTATCATTGAAAGAAATTGGTTCGATAAAAGCTGAGAAAAAGTGGTATGAGACACAAAAAAAAAACACATCTTAGTAAAACCAATACTTTCTCAGCATCGCATCGAAGCTAAAAAAGAAAATACGCTCATCATAGTAAAATTAATATCTCCTCAGCTTTACATCAAAGTTAAAAATGATAAAAACCATACTTTTTGAAAATTTTCTATTCTTATATAATATATAATCTATATATTATATCACATAATTAAATCTAAAATTAGTGGTTTCCATGAAAGAAAATTAAAGTATAAGAATTTATTAAACTTCATATTATTGCTGAATTTTATGAGTCAAACATATTCTTCCTTACAATAATATGAAATTTTCAATTGATTTCAAGAAAATGAGTGTCTAATGATTAATCGATCAACGTCTACAAACACCTCTATAGTATTAGATTTGTCAAGGAACGAAATAGATTAAGTTTCTATTAAAGCTCTATTTTTATTGTTTTGCAAAAATTAATATACCATATTAATATAAATGTTTCGGTATTTCCTTAGATGATGTATGGATATCTGTCAATTCATTGTTTGTATCATCATTCAAAAATTTTAGAAAGTTTGAAATTCAATTTAACGAGGACCTTCTTATTGGTGACAAAAATAAGAACGACACCGTCGAAAAAGATTATGCAGAAAAAATAATTTTTAATAACGAATTGTTTATTAAAAATTTTAAAAAAGATTTTCTTAAAAGTGTACTTGAAAAGTATACAAATGAGCAAAATCAATTTAAATACAAAGGTAATAATCATAACATATTTTTAAAAAGTATAAATAGAAAGAGTTTATATTCAATTAAATGGGCATTTATATGACATTTGTATTAGAAAAAAGTACAATAATTATATAATATGTTAATTTGTATTTTTGACAGCAGTAATGAATTTATAGTCATTAAAAAGTAAATTTGATGAGAATATAAAAAGTATTCTTGTTCATCTTAATTTGTAATCAAAATCGAAATAATTGCTGTTAACAAAAAAAAAAAAGAAACATGTATAAATCTCAAAATTTCTTAAAGATCTTATACTTTTTTTAAATATTTTCCATTAGTAAAATAAGAAATAAGTAATTATATAATTTTATTCAAACAGTAGTCTCAATTTCAAAAAGTTCTTTTATAATATAGTTAAAATAAAACTGAAGACTGAAAAATAAATATTTTTTTTTAATATTCTGCATTATAGAATAATGGATATAGTAAAATAAAATCGACTCTCCTTCCCAAATACAGATAATTACATATAATGTTATACAGTGATTCATTTGTCGTTGAGCACTAAATTTCTCCTAAAATAATATTTTAGGAGAAATAAATTTTGATTTTATTCAGTATAATTTTTTTCACAATTTTTATGTGATCAAATACTTTTTACATCAATCACTTGTCTTTTATTATGATCCCTTTTTTTTTTTTGAAGTGACAATATACATAATTAAATAGCTTATATAATAAAAAATTATCTAATTAAAGAAATAACTTATCAATGATAACTTTTGCAGTGGACGAAAGTTACTAAATTTTAAAATGTGGACTGGAGTTCATATGTATGTTGTACTTTTATTATATCTCTGCCACGCTACACTTTCAAAATAGGTATAAAAATATGCATAAATTCTAAAGTAATGATTCTAAAGTTATTATCAACCAGTTATTTTTTTAGTTAAATAATTTTCTATTATATGAAAATATCATAAACATTATTCTGACATTTAAAGATGTGCAATCTAAATCTTTAAATCTTATGTTTAATGACTTGGCCGGATAACTGCTACATTCTTTATTCCTATATATTATTTTAAGATTACTGGCTCTTGTGAAAATATAGTATATTTACAATTTTATTTTATTTCAGAGATGATAAAACACTTTTACGATGATATTGGAGATATTAAATATGTTATTTGGACTTTTGATAAAGAAGAAGATGACTATGTTAAGAAATATAGTTCAAATACGCACGATGATACGCACGATCATAAGCTTTTTTTATTTGGTTTTAATGTTTAAATATATCAAAGGTGATATTAAGTCAATTGAAACAAAACATAATTAATGTTATATTGTTTCAATTTTAGTATACCATTTAATTGTTTATACAATTTTTAAGACATATTTTTTCAATTTATGTTTTGATTTATTACTTTTGTAATAAAAAATTTATTTTTTTCTAATTTTAAACAATACATTTCCTGTAGTCGATATCTATTTTTAACTCTTTCTCTGTTTTGAAAAAATAAAATTATAAGAATATATCTATTTATTTTGTTGAATATATATCCTTTTGAGAAAGTATATTTTATTGAGAGATCCACACCAATATTTTTAAAGCTTCTTTCAAATATTTATATAAATGTAAAAATTATATCGAGGCGATATTATGGTGGCCCAATGTGTCCCGGTCTTGACACCTTGAGAGAACGCGGCAAAATAATCATCAAAACAAAAATTAAACACTAAAAATACATACGTAACTTTTTTTCGTTGTCTGCTGAAGCGATATTCGTTAGAACAAAGACATTACCAACTACACTAGCTACTCAATAACTATAGAGTTGCAATACATTTAGTCCAATAAAAAATATTATTAGGTTAAATTAAATCTCAGTTAAAAATGAGAAAATTGTGACCTTTAATTCTGTCTGCCAGCGCGATGTTCGTTAGAACAAAGATATTAGCAACGTGACTAGCTTCCTTATTAGAAACGTTCATAATAAATATTTACCATTATATGAATAATTAAATGTAGGTAGTGTTTATTATAAAAATTAAATAATTTTAAAATGTGATAAGTTTTCTGATATTAATTGATATTTATTTCATAATAAGAAAAATAAAACATTATTACTTAATGATAAATAAATTCAATATAAATGATTAAACTGTTTTTAAATTGAAAAATATTCTAAGTCCAAATTAATTAGAAAAATGACAAAGTCCCAGAGAGTAAGAGTCTTGAACAGTGTGTCACAGATTTTGTGCATTTTGAAATTACTGAAAGAACTAATTGAAATAAATAAAGAGTCACATATGACATTTAGAAATGACGGACTATACTGTATGTTACCGTGTCATATATGAAATGTTGTTTGATTTTTTAAATTCTTTTCGTTATTAAAATTTTACTACACTAAGGAAAGTACCTCTTAATATTATTATTTTTAATTTATTAAATATACTTTAATTTTAAAGAATAAAGTTGGTCTAGATATTAATAGTGAAGTAATTAAATTATTGTTTTGTTTTATATTTCTTAAAAGTGTGATTTATATTTAAGTTAATGAAATTATTTTTATTTGTATAGTTATCTCCCTCAAGTTACTTTTTTTTTAAATTTATTGTAGGGCATTCATTGAAAAAATAACAAAAAGAGACATTTCAATGAGAAAATATATTAGCGCTTAGCGAACCGCCTACTTTGTACTTTAGTTAAATTGGTATCTATTATTATTTTTTTACTATTAAATGGAGAATGCGCTAAATAATATGATGACTGGTCGATTAACAATTTGTATTATTATCCGGTATTGTATAGTTTGTTTGCGATATGTATACATATTTGTTTAATATTTTGTCTTTTATTCCATAAAAAAAGTATAAGTACATCAAGTGTACAATTACGAAAAAATACTTTTTGTATTTTACGTTTTTTTAATATTTTACATAATTATAATNTACTATTACGAAAAAATACTTTTTGTATTTTACGTTTTTTTAATATTTTACATAATTATAATTCCACACCTAAGAAATTTATGATGCATAATACAATATTTAATTGGTCTATGGAATAATTTTCAAAAAATTATATAAAATATTTAAAAGGTGAAATTGACCTAATATGGCATTTTAACTGAAATATGCCTTTTCTTCAAATACTTTTTACTCGAAGTGTTTTTATTTCGTTATTGCAATAAAAAAATTTTACTTATTTATTCACGGTAAAATTTTAAAAAACTTGCTTATAAAACAACAATATAATATCATTCATTGAAAATGTAGTTATAAGTGCTATTTAAAACAAATAACCTAAGGTAAGCCCTATGGTGGGCCCTGGCTGACGTCTCGCCTAAACTCTGTGCTAACATGAGCCCCATGTGGATCCTGTGTGCCCTATCACGTCGTGATTGTGTCTTGCGCTATGATGCTGTCATGTACGACCCTATATAGTACTACAACGTCGGGCAGCGCTTCACCGACCGATCGAACGCGCCTTAACTCCATCGTCGGATCCCACAGCTGACAAAAGTCGATCAAAAAAAAAAAGTTCATTTTCCAGAGTACCTACACGCAAACGGTTAAACGTGTGTATAGTACGCGTCGAGTCCGCGCGTTTGATATGTCACAACCATATATACCGGCGTGCCAATTCACCCCCGACGCTGTCGTTTAAGTTTAAGTCGATGGTTCGTAAATGATGAATACCCCTTCTATTTAGTTCCACTACACATTCCAGACATTCCGACAGTCGCTGTGTTTGATTAAAAAAACCACCGAACACGTGCATAACGCGAAGCGCAATATCTCACAGCGTTACTACAAGGTCGTTTGTTGTTTACAGCATTGACTGTGTGTGTGTGTACTACTATATACCCTTTTTTTTGAAACATTGAAATACAATATACGGTTTATATTTATGCGTACTATTTGTACAGTACAAATAGCCGTCGCTTGTTGATTTTTAAATCAATGTGTTAGGTATAGTAAAATAAATCTCATTTTTGAACACATATCTATAGCAAAGGTGACAATTGAGACTGCAATATTAATGTAGTATCCATCCGCGGTGGACGTCAATCGCATGAAATATTTACCACGTATTTACGAGTGACCTGAAGACATCAAAAGTGACCGTACACTAAACACAATGGACAGTGCAAGCGGCAGCACAACCATTGAAACGTTGTGGGAGCATATTAAACAGATGGACGCTTCGCGTATCGGATTATTTTTTTGTATAACGGCTGCAACAACCTTTTTGATTTTGCTACATTTCACACAAACCGTTGACAGCAGCAGATATCAGATTGTAAACAGTAGCGACAGCGATAGTGGATACGAAGATGCGGATGACATTGAAAATTTAAAAAATAATTTGTTTGTAATAACTAATCGTTTGGACGCTCTCGATCGAGATTACATAACAATTGAAGATCGTGTTTTTATATTGGAAAAACGCATCGAAACAGTAGAACGAACATGAATATGAATGTCAACGTGTTTTATTTAACCAAAATGCTGACAAACAAAATAAAATAAATCAACTGATATTGTACTACAAATATAGTTACATTTTTACAAATGTAGAAACTGTACTATACTAATACACTAATAGATTTTTCAAAAAATCTAAGAGAATTGTAGTATTTATACGTGTTGATATCTACCAAAAAAATCAGACCATGATAATTTTTTATACAAAGTTAACAAAATGTTTTTTTTTTTGGTCGTGTTTTTTACACACAAATTATTTCGGTTCGTGTTAAGGTCCTTCTAAAATTAATTTGCTCAGTTTAATCATTCCTTTGTTTACGACTTACGCTGTTGTACGGTCATACGTTTACTATCGATGTGTATTTGATCCAAAATGGATAGTGGAAAAGAAACGTATAATGGGTATGAAAATCGTCTCAATGAAAATTCAGGTAAGAAATAAAAACTGTATGATATGACAATCGAAACTAATTTTACGTGAAATTACTTTTCCATTTTTCTCGTTTAGGATATGATGTTTGTGGATTTTACTGTTCGACGTCTAATGATCAGCAGACTAGAATTAAACTCCCTATAGTGTATATAATTTTTAGGTAATGGACAAAATGATCAAATGTTATGTTATTGCTGCAGTCAAGGTTTGAAAGGTTGGGATGATGAAGACGACCCATGGGTAGATCACGTACGTTGGTCTCCATGTAAGCAATTTAGTGATCCCCACTAGTAAGATATTGAATTCCTAGGGACTTTTATCCCAAACAATTGACTATATTGTGCCTAAAATATAAATTTTACTATATAACTGTAGAAATAACCCTTTATCTGTTCATTCACTTTTTGGAGTTTTTATGGTTATTTTCATCTATATCTACAACTGTGTTTCACGGCTATTCCTGTGCATTTTTCAACAGTCATTAAATTGTAAGTAAAATTTTTAAATTGTTATAATATCTTTCACGTTCAATGCATCTATTTATTTTTACTAATCTATATTACTTATAAATTTCAAAAAGTTTTTTCATTAATTAAATTTGTTTACTATAATTAAAAAGAAAAAAATATATATATGGTACTTGTTGCATTGAATGATAAAATTACGTTATTGATTACATTTGTTGTTCAAATAAAATTTTCATTCGTCTTTTTTAGTAGTAATTTATTTGTTTTTAACCCTTTCATGTATTTATTTATTTTAAAAATCGATAATCTTATGAAAATTTGCCAAAAAATTAATTTATTATATACATTTTTTTTATTATAATCTAAAATAATTAATTTTATTCAAACCAGTTTTAAAAATTTTTTGTGACACAATTGTAGTCTGCTCAACTAATGCATGATTAAGACTAAAGTTATTATATTTTAAGTAATACAAACACAAATTTTTAGGTTAAATATTTTCAATAAAACCGTTCCAGAATCTTTTTCAAGTGTATTTAATCAAAAGTAAGTTATTATCTATCGCTATTCAGTTCAAATGTACTTATAAGTTTACAATAATTTTAGTTATTCAAAATGAAATTACCAAAAAGTGTCAATAATGTAGAACATCTGGTTGAATATATGGAAAGTACTGGAGTGTTATGTTTTTTAGAAATCGCTGAAAATTTGAAAATTTTTCGAAATCGCACAGCTTTTGACCGTGGAGTAATGAATGATGGTTTTATTATTCGCGATCCGGAAGCATTACGAACAAAACGGAGCTGTGCCGATTTATACAAGAGTGAAATTCGAGCGGGTAAATTAATAATGCTGTTCGGGGAAAAAAATTATTTAAAATTTAATTTTTATAATGTACGTTATCCCGACGGCTCCACGGCATTTATTTGTAGGTTGGGTACATGTTTTGTAGAATTATCGAATATTCAGGAACGTGTAATTGTATAGAAGGTGGTTGAGGAGTTTGTTCTCAACCCCTATTCTATGCACTTTTTGATATTGCATTTTCCACCTCACTGTTCTTGTAAATTTTGTGATGAACAAATATTTACATGGACAGTGTAGATTAATTGTTGTATATATAGTTTTGTAAATATATTTAATGTATTATATTGAAATATTAAGATAAATATGTTGTATTAATGGTGTGTATGTGTGTACTTGTTTTCACTAACTTATAAAAAAAAAATGTATTATTAAATAATCTAATGGTAACAATGTAGTAACAATCAGGTCATTTGTATCGGGTATGTATCGTAAAATGAAATGGTGAATAGATTAGTATTTATGTTGTAAAGGTTAAAGAATATTATCTTATGTAAACATGTGTGTGTGTGTGTGTGTGTACTACGCTCCGATACACACTCAACGATTTCTATAGTGTATGATGACGAATAGTTTGTAAACAACTGTATTATTAAAGAAGAAAAAAAAACTCAGTTTATAAATGGTTAGATGAGTACACATAGCTGAAGGAGTGCATCGGCTGTATTGTAGCTCAGTGATTTATCTTAAACATAAACAAGTAGAGAGAGGAAAGGGGTAGTATGCTATGAGAGAGTATCGATATGAATGTCAAATTAATGGTCTCGTGGCAAGCGGATGGAGGTGACGAAAAAAAAAAAATTCATAGCACTATTTTCGAGTTATGTGCAAATTTCGGGAAATTTGTATTACGCGGTGTTCTCCTCCGTGTCATGCTGATGATAGTAGTTATTGTTAAAAATGTATGTATCAGTGTCGAGTTGTACACCATTAATACAACATTCACCATATATATATATATATATAGTTTACTCACGAATAATTTTGGTGTGTAGAAAATGGAACAATTAAAACAAAAAATGAATAATCAAGCCAAAGGCATGGAGTACATTAAAATGTCTGACTTGGTAGAGAATCATGCCTATAGAGTTGATTCAATGAAAAATTTGACAACGAGAAACGGTGTTGTGGTGGTGGCACGGTTGCCCGACAACCGACAAGTTTTTGTTCCAAGAATACAGTTGACGGACGATGAAATTAAAACGTACAACGACGGCGACACCAAAATGTCACTGTGTTACAGAGGAAGAACGGGAAATGCTTATTCATTTGATTTTCAATAAATTTTTTTTTTAATACATTAACTTTTTTTTTTTTTTTTACAATCAACAAATCTGTTTGTATCTAATGATGATTTATGTACAACAATTGAAATAAAATTATATAGTTCGTTCACAATCTATTTGTGTTTGCATTATTACTCCGATAGTATAGAACCTAATAGTAGTTTATGACAAAGGTAAATTATACTTTAGATTAATATTATAAGATTGATAGTTTTTCAAATTGGTGGAAAATGTAAAAACAAAAATCACAATAGCAATACTTTAAAGTAGATTTTAAGAAGAAAAAAAAACTCATGTATTCAAGTTTTACACACCATTGATAATATAATCCGTTAACAGTCCAGTAGTGTTTACTCCAATAGTAAAAGTACATTGAACTGAATAGTTGATTAAAGAGGTGGCCATACACACGTTTAACTAATGTATTAATTTTTCAATAGTTGTTATCATGTCGTTTGTATGCGGTTGTGGGTCTTCATTTGTCGATAGTACTGGTTTGAATGTTCATTGTAGTATGAATCAGGGTCACCGTCAAACTGTTATTTCAGGGAAACGATGTCTGTCCGCGCCTGCGGGTAAGGTGACCAAACGCGCGTGCATGCACGTTGCAGGGACCGGCTTTGTTCCGATAGAATCTGCACTACGCGATCGAGTTATACATTATTTTTTGAAAAATGAAACGTCTATTGACGACATTGACGATTTTATTCGAAACGTGAGTGACGATTTAACCACCGTACTATATGACGTTACCAAGCACGGTATAATAAAATTCAACGTTGTACTGCACACAACGTATATACACCAAGTTATGGATGAAATGAGAGACGTATTGTTTAAAACGCCTAACAAAACTGTCGATTCAAGTACCGTATATGCCGCCGTTTTGGATGGAATCACGGAGAAACTCGTTTACGAACAACAGGAAATGGTGACCCGAGGTAGCGGGTGGTCGCTATTATTCATAGACGGACTGCTGTTGAGAGTCACGAAAATTTCATCATTTAGCGGTGGCTCGTACATTGAACTTCCACTGAGTATTAAACGAAAATTTGTGGTCATAAACGTAAAAAACGCTGATCAGCAGTGTTTTAAATGGGCGATTTTATGTAAGTACAACAAGAACAAAAAAAATAAAGATCGATGGAATGCAGGTTACATTGATCTAGAAAAATCCACAAATATACGTTTTGACGGCATTGACTTTCCTACACCATTGAAACAAATTATTCGATTTGAACGTAATAACCCGTCAATGTCGGTCAATGTGTTTGCGTTGGACGATAAAAATAACGTGTATCCGTTGCGTATCACTAAATCATGTACGAGCACCGGTCATGTTGATTTACTTTACGTTACCGAGCCGGGAAATAGCCACTATTGTTATATATCACGAGACTCGTGTCAAAACAACGAACCGAGGGCAAACGACACGAGTACTATTGTAAACGTTGTTTAAACGTATTTACCAATCGTTCGTTAAAGACTCAACCGAGCGGACAAGCGGGGGTGGATGAGCACATTAAAATGTGTGGAAAGTTCAAGGAGGCCCGAGCCGTCCTTCCCGCACCCGATTCCGACTAGTCGGTACTGCGGTTCAAAAACACAAGGCGAGAAGAGCCGGTTCCACTGGTTGTGTACGCAGACACGGAGAGTTTGATGGTTCGCGCCGAGCAACAAGTGTCCAAGTACTGTACGGTTACACAAAATCACCAGGCGATGAGCTAATGTTTCTATGTGGTTCGCGATTCCATGGCGTTGCCGAAAAATATTTGCGATGGACTACCAAATGAACCGGTACTGTACCGGGGACCGGATGCTGCCAAACACTTTATTACGACGTTGGTAACCATTGGTAAATGCATATCGGACATAATGAAGCTGAACATCGATATGACGCCACTGACACCGGAGGAACAACTACGTTTCGATACAACGAATAATTGCGAGTTGTGTTCAATTAGGTTCACGGATAAAGTAAAAAAAGTCAAGGATCACAACCACTGGACGGCTCGGTTTCGTTCCGTTTTGTGTAACAAATGCAACCTGCAACGACGTCCACCGGCCTTTATGCCAGTCATCATACATGGTCTGTCCAACTACGACTCGCACATGATTATCCCAGAGTTGGCGTACGACGATAAAGACATATATATCATTGCTCAGTCCGAAGAAAAGTACATCATGTTCAGCAAGACCATAGATGATTATTTTCGTATCCGGTTCATAGATTCTTACCGGTTTCTACAAGCCAGTTTATCTAAGCTGACCGCCACACTGTCGACAACGGATTTCGTGCATACACACAAAGTGTTTGAATCGCTGGAGTTGGTCACCCGGAAATCTGTTTTTCCGTACGAGTACGTCGACTGTTGGGAGAGGCTCGAAGAAACACGATTGCCGCCCCGTGACCAATTTTACAGCTCGATCACGCATCAGACGGTGTCCGAGGAAGACTACGAACACAGTAAAAAAATGTGGCAACACTTCAACTGCAACACTCTCGGTGATTACAGCGACAAGTATTTACTTTTTGACGTAATGATATGTTTTTTTTTTTATATAATTTATTTCGGAATCGTATGTAATAACTTTGTTGTTGATGTAGATACTGGACGATGTGTTTGAAAAATTTCAAAAAGAATGTCTGACAAATTATAAACTCGATCCCGCGCATTATTTTTCGTGTCCGGCATTATCGTTCGACGCAATGTTGAAGTACACGGACGCATACATTGAACTATTGACGGACCCGGATATGTTGTTGATGTTCGAAATGGGTATACGCGNTAATATGTTGTTGATGTTCGAAATGGGTATACGCGAAGGTTTAACGCAAAGTAATCAGCGGTATGCTCGAGCAAACCACCCAGATGTTCCCGACTTGCCTCACAAATACCTTCAGTATTTGGACGCTACTAATTTGTACGGGACAGGTATGCTTAATGTAATTTTATTTATATAAAAAAAAGAATTGTAATTTTCTGTTCTTTTTTTACAGCCATGATGGAACATATTGCGTTTGGGTATTTTGAGTGGTCGACGGCAACACTGGAAGAAGTACTGAACACCCCCGACGACGGTGATTACGGATACCTGGTGGAATTCGATGCACATTATCCACGTTAATTGCACGATTTACACAATAATTTACCATTTTTTCCGGTAAACGAGCGATCACCGTTGTCGTCTTTGAAACACAGCAAGTTGATGACCACGTTACAACCAAAACGTGGTTATATCGTGCACTGCCGCGCACTAAAACTAGCTGTGAAATACGGTGTGGTCGTAACAAAACTGCATAAATGTATAAAATTTATGCAATCCCGCTGGTTGGCACCGTACATTCAGTTGAACACGGAATTTCGTAGAAAAGAGACCACCACGTTTGGACAAAACATGGCCAAACTGATGATCAACTCAAACTATGGTAACATATAATTAATATTCCAAAATTTAATTGTATTTTTTTTTTAACTTATTTGTTTCGCGTTCAACAGGAAAAACATTGGTGAACGTACGAAAACACCAAAACATACAACTCGTGTGCAACCCGGAGAAACTGTCGAGGTTAGCGGCAAAACCGTCGTTTAGTCACACCACTGTATTCAACAAAAATCTGGTTGCAGTGCACATGTACAAGGAGAAGATTAATTTTTACAAACCTATTTTTATTGGACAGGCCATATTGGATATAAGTAAATGCATAATGTACAAGTTCCATTACGAAATTATGATGCCGTTGTACGGACCCGAGCGACTCCTACTCTGTTACATGGACACCGATAGTTTCATTTACCTGATAACGACCAACTGTTTCCACGATGATTTGAAAAAGTACTTACTCGAATATTTCGACACGTCAAATTACCCGATCGACCACCCTTGTTACACCGATCGACGAAAAAAACAACCGGGCACGTTTACTGATGAATGCAAGGGTAAGCATATGCAAGAAATTATCGCATTGTTACCCAAAGTGTACGCTTATTCAATCGCTATACAAAATTACTACGACAGGTTGTTGGTTACGTGGCAAACGGACGAGGTGAAGCGATTGAAAGGCATGAGCACGGGTGTGGTGAAACATGAAATCAAAATGGTTGACTATTTGAATTGCTTGCGTGGTAAACTCAAGCAAACCCGTAGGAAAATGTCCGTAATACGCACGAAACACCATAGTGTTTCGACAGTTGAAATTAATAAACTCGCGTTGGTCAACAACAACAACTACGATAAGCGGGCTTTAATCGGTGACGAAGGAGAGTACAAGGATATGTATACAAAAGCGTGGGGGCATTATTCTCTAGGAAATGATGATGACGACGACGAAGAAACAAATTAACTCAAAGTTATACATTAGTTTTATTTAATAAAATATATCGATACATTTTTTGTAATTTTTTAACCAATGTTTATAATAATATGTAAATAAAACAATTACGAATTATCCGTTAACCATTGTTTCAAACACATTGCTTTATACAAGCTACACATTTTATGATTATTTATGTGACGAATACAACGTGGTTGGAATTCCACACATAATTTCCGCAGTGGTGGACAGTTTTCTTTTATTTCGACTACCCTCTTTCCGGGTAAATATTTTTGTAACACTTGTTTTTTCTGTACGCCTTTCACGTAGATAGTATCGCACCGTAACAACGACATTATTCTCGGTAGTTCAGTGTATTCCACGTCGCCAATGTTCGTGTCCAAGCCGTGATGGTGCTTTTTTAGCCAGTAAGTGGTTTTCACATCGTCCTTGATGATATTTGAGTGTTTGAACACTCAGTGGGCCATAAACATGGACTCCAGGTCTATGGCGGTCATTTCTTTTACCAAGAACCAATGGTCGGTGGCAGCCACCAGGCCCTGAATATGTCATCGAGTCCTTTGATGTTTACCCGTGTTCGAGTGTACGTACTCCGGGCCGGTCGATGTAGTTCGTACGCAATTTTAGGTTTCATAATGTAGACGGTATGTCGGCAATGTACCCGGCTTTATAAAGTTCTTCTAGTATGGAATCAATCTCGGTTGACACTCCAGTGTTGCCAGCCGACTGAGCCGATATGAGCAGCTTCAAACGTTCGACAAGTTCATTGGGATCGTCCCAGTATAAGTAATCTTTTTTTTCACCAACTCTCAGCTGTAGTCCCGATCCTACGCTGCTGAACATTGGCTCGATAACTTCATTGTATTTAGCACCCCCCTTTTTTAATGTCATATTTTTGTTTAGATGAGCTCCGGTTTCCTCCAATATTGTTTTTTACTTTTCCAAATCTTCGTCGGTGAACGCAACGGGGCTTTTTGATAACAACAAATTCACTAGTCCAATCGTCAATTGGTGTTTTGTTTCATTTACACGAATAAAGTCACTGTCTACGGTTATATTGTTTGCATTACCCATGCTCAGCTTACCGTCCATATGCATTCTAGGACCGTATCGTTTATCTCTCAATGGATTTTTTGTCCACTGTTCTATAAGATGTGCAAAATATAACTTTGAATAGTCATTTTCTTGCGATTGTTTCTGATGCTGCTGCTGCTGCTGCTGCACATTAACAACATTGGATATCCTATTCAATGGTTCGATTATTGGTGCTAGTTTTTTCTGAATGTGAGTCAACGACTCTGACTCACCATGACGTAATTCTGCATATTTTTGTCTGACGTTGTCCCAGGCTTGATCCAATAGTTCCATCGAACGTCGTTCCTTGTCGGCCGCGGCGGTGTTCATATTGTAACGTACGTGTCAAACCTGTACCTGTATCGACCACTATCACGATCAAAATCCGTACATATCACTGCGAACCCGTATTTATCGTTTTTCCAACACTGATTGCAAAACTCTTTGAACTCGTTAAATTTCATATCACAACACACGTACTCGTCGTATGCATGACGTAGGTTGATTTCGTCTTGTCAGAACAACACCACCACATTTACATTGTCTCGTAATATTTGTTTTTGTATACGGGACAATATTTGTGAGAGAAAAAACACATCAATTCTTTTGTGTTGGCCACGCGCAAAATAATCGCACATTACGTTTTGTTTTTCCATAACCACGTCGTCGAAAATAAACACTGAATTTGGTAGAACAGTGTCCACTGGTGGAACTTCATCACCGTTCGCAAATGTGAACACGCGTATCCCTTCAACATCTTCCAATACTCGAATCAACAGTTGATATTTCGACTGCTCCAACGATTTCGAGTAGATGTAAACGTTTTCGAATTTCAATCCGTTCAAGTCGGTCAACAGCGCGAACATTAAATTGGTTTTACCACAGTTTGACGGACCACAAACCAGACAACGTACACTGTTTGGTAATAACTTCCCGTGTTTACTGTGCTGTACATTAGTGACGACATGTTCGTCAAAATTGACCACGGGCAGAGTTTCTGTCTGTTTTTCAAAACGCATCGCACGTCGTCATTTACCCATCATTTCCTGTGTATTATTATTATTATATAAACTTTGTTTGTTGCTCGTGCCTTAGTGATCTCGATTGCGTAGGGCAAATGGTAGCGTTATTTTTTCATCACAATTACGATATAATACATATATATATATTACATCGTAAGTGTGAACTAGAACGTTAGAAGTACAATGAAAACGCGACAACGACGTCGACATCGGAAACGGGGATCCGGTATTGTCAACTCAGTTATAAACAACCTTCCTTTGAAGCCCACGTGCCCGGTTACCAGTTTGCCGGTCCTGGAACTAAATTGCAGAAATGTTTAGCACGTGGAGACCGTGGTATCAATCCATATCGCGTACTCCAAAAGTAATTCTCTCGGGGATCGGCATCGAGCCGATGAAATTCTAGAACACCGTGCGTGGGATCGAGTGCGTTCAAAGGACGCAAAATTATCAGAACGAGCCGTAGCTTGGGGTGTGACAAACGCAATGAAATTGAAACGCAAACTCGGTATGGGATTAAAAAAAAAAAAA